CCTAATAGTCCACCTGGTAACATTGTGCTCAGAGTCAGCCTGGAGTTTTCTTCTGAATTCCAGCAGGTTCACCGACTTCTCGGATATCTAGTGACTGATCCGGTGGCAACCCGTGTGGGAGCATTTTCAACAATATAGTTTCTCCTGCACGTCGTATAGCGGCCTAGATGCTGTTCATTTGAAGCTCAGTGTCATAAGGACCAGTGAGTCGAAGTTCGGTACGGAGTTCATCCCGGTTGACTTGATTGCTCGAGGACTGAGATAACTTCTCAGTCGCCTTTGGAAAGAGGCGCTTGCTACACCTCCGGGTAAGGGTCATGGAATAACGACAGCATACCAAGGCGTGATCAGAGGCGGCGTAACTACTCCAGAATGAGCGACAATTCAGGATGAACCACGCCGCCTGTAACGTTTGTCAACGTGATCTGTTTGAGATCATCATGGCTTAGCTGCAGGAGGATTCCAAGTGACACTTCGGCGCCCACTGTGTCTAAAAGTGGCACTACTAAGAAACAGCTGATGTTCCGCACACAGACGTAACAGACGCTTGCCGTTGGCTATCCGTTTGGTTAAGTTCCTGCTTAACACCTAGCAAAGCTCCTGAAGAGCTCAGACGACCCACTTGCGCATCCAAATCCCCTGCAAACACTATGTTATTTGTACTGGTAACACTACGTAGTAGCTTGTTTAGTTCGTGATAGAAAGCCTTCTTAGCAGCATCAGAGCTGCAGTTGTTCGGGGTATAAGCGGAAACCACAAACAAACCGTTTCTAGTGATATTCCATAAATCAACCCTAGTTTATGTTGTCAAACGGAGTGCACATAAACGACCGCTCGCAGGAATCAAGTTAACCAACGATGACTGGGCCTTGAAGCTGAGCACAATGCCCACTCCAGCTTGACCAGTCGTTGCTACATCAGTGTCTCCGGATGCGTACAACCAATGGCGAGCGAACAAACCGGGTGCAGTTAATTCAACAACCCCGTGAGCGTCATTGCTCCTTGTTTCGGACACACAACTCGTCACTACCCAGCGTGTCCAGCCTGCGTGCAAATGCAGCCTGTTGATCTATTGGTCTTGGGGTGCGAATGTTGAACGCCGCCAGGGAAACGGGACAATGTGGCTTTATTAGGAGCTGTTGGTGATTAGTGTCCAGTGAGTGATGCGGGAACATAGCTGCAGATGGTATGACTCCGGTGACATTGCGGTTGCGTTCAGTTAATCTTGGGATTATGGGAGGAAGGCTAGTAATAGGGACTGGGAGAGGCGTAAGAGAAACGGTTGGAAGGAAAAAAAGAAGGCGCCATTAGTTGCATGTTTTCGCTTATTCGCCCTGCTGTATGCAGCAGATAAGCGACTGTTGATAATCTGCGCGAGGGCGGATGCAGGATGTAGTTACATTTTGTAGCAATTGTCATGGTTGTATGTAAGCTGGGATACTGCTCCGGCGCCCAGACTTAGACAAGAGAACGGTTAGGAGCTTCAACCAAAGCCTTTGGCCCAAAAGCCTGTCCACAAGGCAGCGGATGTGGCAACCATTTAGTTTTAACTATATGGACGGTATCCCGTTTCAAACCCCCAATCTGGATTACCAGGAGACTGAGTTCGTCTGACTACACATCTATCAACCTGGTAGGAGTAGCGCTCAAGTAGCCCATGTGCCCCACAGTATAGCTCAATGAGTCGACGTAGTGCGCAAACCGTCACACCACATTAAGGTCCAGTCTCGTCGTGACGGTTGAGTAGGCATTAATCAACGAGAATCGTTTTTTCCACCAAGTGAACCAAAATTGTCTGCGAGTTTGCGCTCCCGTGGCTTACTGGATGATTTTTGTGGACTGAGCCTAACTGGAAGGTTCATTCCACTGTGTAGTTTGGTACCTTTCACTGTGTCGAATTAATTTCGATTTCTCTGTCCATATTAGACTACCACATATAAAATTGCGCGTGCCCCTTCATTCTCTTGATCCCTGGATGATCTGATCAGAATATTTAAACGGACGCTTGTGCCTTCATGCAAACTTTATCCTTTTACTTTTTGTCTAACTTGACTGTCGATTTCAATACGTACTCTCTAACGTGGCTCCCGTAGTAGATGGCTAACGTTCAGTCTGTTCGCATTAATCCATCACCAGCGCCTTCGCCTGTTCTGTTTCCCGTTGTTTGTGTTTACCTTCCAAGATCAATTGGCTCCAGACTCCGCGTTCTTCAGTCGTGTTATCATTCATTCATTATACACGTTAGCTAGAGGTGGGGAACATCTCAATCACATTATCGAGGAAGCTGAAACGTCTCAGACCGAGAGCATCATCCCACATTAGGTCTTTCGACCACTGACAGACCTCATGAGGCGTGTGCCTGGTGGCTCAAAGGTAACCAGTTTGAATCTGCGTAGCTGCGAGCGGTCTCACAGTATTCCTACCACGCGCTCTAATGGTGGTGGTCACGTGGCAGCGAAGCATCGTTAAAGTTTTGGTGCGTTCCCTGCATGTGGTGCCCATGCACAATGTGGTAAAGTGGCTGTCATCTAACGTGTACAGGAAAGGATTCGTGTTGCGTAGCTTCCGCATTTCGTATCTCTCATTATACCGAATCATCAGTTCTCACCGTATGCAGTGTCGGAATCTTCTTTAGCACTGTCATGCTCACCTTTTACCGTTGCTTTAATTGTTGTGGCCGTATCCAACTTTTTACATGCAATATTGAACAAGCTGACACGGGCTACACGCACCATACCGTTTTTGGTTCTCTGACGATTTAAGATACTTGAATCATTCTTAGGTCTTAGCATATCCGCTGTCTGGGTTTCAACACGCACTCTCAATTGCGACCACAGTTTGCTTTGAAGCAAACCTCTACCATTTCCATCGCTGGGACCGCATCCGAAGTGAAGAGTTTCGGAGCTACTTTCTCCCAATATTCCAACCCTCCAAAATTCCCCGCCTAGATCATCTTCGCTCACCCATTGGTCCGTGTTATTCGTGGTAATTCACTCTGTTTAGTTTATGCAACTTGTTTCACCGCCTGAATCATTATTGCTCTACTGGGCTGAACTTATAGGTCGCAGTTAGACCAGCCAGTGAGACATTCCCGAAACTGACCGGGAGACTGATATTTGGGAATGTGTCTTCCCGCTTGAGAACCCGGGGTTTTTGTCACGTCAGCATTTCACGTTTGCTAATTTTGTGCGCTTTTACTTTTCTCCTCTCGGATGTTCCTTTTGAACTTTTTCAACAGTGGTTATACTTTGCTGCATCGCCCCTCCTTCATACGTTTCGTGTGCGCTTGCATTGTCCTTTGCATTAAAGCCTAATTTCCCATCCATTCTTATTTGTTTGCTATCATAACCTTATTAGCCGTTTGGATTGGGTTCGCCGCACTCCGGTGCTTTTGTTTCAGGTGTTTGTTACTGATACACTCACTTGTCACCCATTCGAATCTCCTTTGACTCGGACGACTTCTTAGCATCCCATCCCGCATGCAACTCCCGTCGATCTTGTGGCGACGAAGCGTCGGCGTGCTACTGATACCTAACCGAGGACCACGAAACTGCTAAAACGATGTTCAGAATCCTTTCCACTTCACACCTCTTCACTGTAGTTGAACAACTATGATTTGGGCACTAAAGTGCGATGGATCCAGTTGTCATAATTCCATTCACCTGGATAACAATAACTATTTAGGAGTATTAGGTGGAGTGCAAATAGAACACAAAGAAAATGAAATCAACACAGACGTGCGCAAAACTGATCGGGACGGAAAATTAACAGTTAGATGGAAGAAACCGAGTACAGGAACGCTATTGCTTGCAGACTACGCCATGTCCAATAGTATTTCCAACCACTAATGTGGACTACCTGAGGACCGTAACCACGAAGATGGGACGCACCAGCCTGAATTAGTCTCGGGCAAATCCCTCATTCCTTTATACCACCTCGTCGGTTGGCCATCTCGCGGTTTCGCACAGTTTGTTGCAGCGACAACAAATAATGCACGCTACAGACGTCGGTCATATGTTATACGGAAAACATGACCAAACAAGCGTAATCAGTTGAGCTTAAGTAAAGACTCGGATGAGGCACCCAACGACTTCTTGCTGCGAACCTACTGGCGCATCATGGCATTGCTTATACGGTGTTCCCACCAGACGTCATTAATCCATAATCACTTGTGGTCAAACGCGATTAAGTTTTTAATGTCTTCACTGCGAACTGGCCAGGTCTCTGACCCATACAGTAACACCGGCTTTGTCACACCGTTATACATCCTACCTTTCACTGACGCACTAATATCCTGCCATCTCCATAAATGGTTGAGTCTCTGAAAAACCACACGGTCCTCGCTAACACGCAAAGTAGCTCCCTCAGTGATGGCCGCCAGCACGACTTGTTTCGTTTTGGTCGGCACTGAGTACTGAACAGATACTCGTGCTTATGTGCGCGGAGGATATGTCTACGGCACGCGTTCACTCCTGTTTTCAACTACATTACATTTCAGTGGAATTACATTATCCTTTACAGCATTTGAATTCAAAATGAGAAAGCAGCTGCATTCCTTTACACCACGCCACATCAATACCGTTTCTGCGATTTCGGTCTTATTGAAACCAAATGCATGTGCCGGCTTGCAATCCGCTGTCGTAGCCCATTCGAGAGGCTATGGATAGCGTCGTCTCATAACTGTTTTACCGAACTACTCTTTTGATGTTACACATTTTGTAGTATTTCGCTCTGGTATCACTACTCGATTATTTACTCATGACACATTTTCCAATTTCAGGCTCATTAGGCTGCACAGGCGTACTAACACGAAACGTCGTCCCTCTTACCAACTACGATTCTGTCTGTAACCTTCCCATTCTTCAAACAGAATTGCCAAGATGAATACTGGCTGCAGGCTTCAAACAAGTCATGAAACCGCCTTGGTTAAAGATAGTATTTTGGAACTCGACGGGTCCCCATGTGTTCGTTTGTGCTTTTAGCATCATTTCTTCCCTTTAGGATGTCACCGGATATACCCGTTCGTTTGCAAAAACCGTCTTAGCCTACATTGGCTTCGTTTTCACTCTCGGTCTGCTCCGGCTTGTTTTTTATTGGATGCCTCGCTGGATGCTTGTCTGCACCCATTCCACTTGCCCACTGCCCGAGGCACAAAAGGTGCTTGTGAAGGTGAGCTTTCCTATCACTTGTACCCTGCAGCATATGCCAGCCCACTTTCGTTCCTTTTTGATTGTTGTGTCTATTTGCTTTTATTACATGAGTATTGCATTATGCATTAGCTTAAGGCAAAAATAGCCTACGTTTTGCTCCACTGAGTTATTGCACGGCATTTTCTGGTGCTCTAATAAACATTCCTGAAAACATCGTTGTTTAAGTGCCAGGCATATCAAGTCACAACATTTTCGTCTGGAGCAGGGAGGTCAAATCCCCCCTCTCTTCGAATTTAACCGCATCATCATCAACAACAATGCACCAGCCATTTGAGTTGATGCTTCACTACTGTACAACCAAAGGGAAAAAAAGATGACCTAGCATCAAACCTTAATATCTTAAGCAACTAATCAGGGTTAGGGCGCCTACTCCTTGCCAACAACCCACGGTCACAAAACCTTGGCTAACGTTCAAGAATAAGGTAGCATCAGCAAGGCAGCTTCCTTGTGGCTTTCACTGCCCTGCGTCCTAATCAGCCATTACCTCGCAGATAACTCAGCACCACACTACAACTAGATAGTCCGACTAGCAAACGATCGCGGACGCGCCGACAGCGGGCTATGTCATGTGACGTCCCGAGCCAAGCACAAGTTGGGTCACATGGATTCCAGCTTGGAAGTCAGTGACTTCATTTCTCGCTGCCAAGTTAATTTTTGCCCATCTCGAACCTTGCGTCACCCTACATCTGGCAGACAAAACAAGACCCTCCTCTTTAAGCGGTGATCAGACATACATAGCATATACCCAAGCCAGCGGAACTTATTCACTGCTATATGTTGTCCTAAGGAACTAGCCTGATTATCAATGCCTAATACTCGCCTACGCACATCGTTGAGTACACGCTGGAGCCTTTAGACACCAGCGTTGCTTCGCAAGCAACGATGATCATATACTTAAAGCCGTCTCAGTTCCTCAGACTGAACAGTCCATTTCCCACTCCCAATGAGTAAGTTAGCTTTCATAATAGGCTTGTGAACACGGTCTCTCAGACCAAAGGGGACTCCCTTTTTTCTCTCAGATTCAAGGTATTCGTAGCTTATAACTACCTGAACTGACTTCAGTGATTATGCGTCTATCGTTGTTGACGCAGGTGCAAAGGTAGATGAATTGATCGACTATCTCGGTTTCCTCGTTATCAAAGGTCAATGGATCGTCAAGTGGCTGGTGGTTCTGCAGCAACACCTTGCACTTCGAAGGTGCGATGCGCATGCCTAATGATAGGACCCCACTAGAGAGTTTATTCAGAGTTCACTGGGCCACCTCAACGTCGTTGGATAGCAAGACAATATCACCCGCACAATTAAGTTCAACTGGCTTTTCACCAGGCAGCACTTCAACGTCTGCATCATGAGATTCCGCTAGGGAACACTCCATGTTGGCGCTCACGACGGAATTGCACAATATGGTGAAATTCGGAAACCCTGACGCGGCTGTGTCGTTCGAATGCAGGAACTCATTTCCGGGCAAGCGTCTCGAGCAAAATAGATCGATCGACAGAGTTGAATACACTGTTGAAGTTTAGCTACACAGCCATTGTCGGTCTGCGGTTCGAATGCCGCAGAGTGAATATATGGCCTACACAGTGCCGTCCTGTGAAAAACCCGCATGCTCGTCTTTAATACGGGATTCCCGTTCTGCCGTGAGGTGGCGAAGGAGTCATCATTAATATCATCATTGCACATTAGCTGAAGGTAAAAAACGAACACTATTATGCCTCAATACATACGGATAAATCATACGAAGATGCAAAATACTGATAAGTATAGAATGCAAAGTACAGGCCACATACTACTTAGTAACATATTATGCGTCAAGGGAGAGATCTTGCTTGCAGGGGAAGATAAGCGGGATGGGGAGAGACAAAGGGACTCACAGCACACACCACTATGGTCGACTCTTCGCCATGTCAGCAGGTGTATCCAGCCGAACGTGCTCATCATTCTTCGGACCCAAGCTAGGCAGTCCAGAACCCACCAACCGACACCAACCTCGAAGTGCGAGATCTCATTCCACTTGACCAAGTATTCGCTTCTTCTACCCAGACTCTTAGAGCGCATGCAACACAGGTCGCGGGAGTCGGTGTGCTGGTATGCGCAACACGTGGCCCAGCCATCGGAGTCTGGTGCGTGATATAATGGTACTGAGCGGTTCGCTTCTTCTTCCTGCACCAAATACACGATGCCGGACGCGCTCATTGCTTTCATGGTGCTCCCACCAGATATGAACTAAGCTGCGAAGGCAGCGATGATCCACGAACGAAAATTCTGGGCAGTACTTTTGTCATTGCCGTCGTTTGGCTAATTCCCTTGTGATTATCCCAATCGGTGCAACCGCCCTTCTTGTATATTGCCACTATAATCGATTCACTCCAGTTAACCTGGATGATCTCTGCCTTCCAGACCTGCTCGAACAGGAAGGTCAGTGCTTTGCAGAGGACCTAATGAGCCTTTTTAAATAGTGCGGGCGCGAGCGAATCCGAGCCAGCAGCACGAAAACGATTGTGGGCTGTGATCGCGTTTCTGATAGTTTCCGATGGCGTCTCTAAGCTAACCGGCTATGGCTCAGTCTGCATCACCTGAGTGGAAAGGGGTCCGGAAGCAAGGGGCCAATTAAACTGCTCTCGAAAGTGCTCTGTCCAACGAGACATACGGCGCTCCTTATTGTGAATCAATACACCCGCGCTGTCTCTGATTGTCTCACTGACGCCTGTATTCTTGAGACCAGTGGTGCGGATCAGTTGGAATAGCTTTCAATAATTGCCTGCCAATCCTACCTCCTCCTTTCCTTTGGCCTTAATGCTCCACCAAACTTCCTTGTTGGCACGCAGGTTTCGACTTACTCGTCGCCTAATATTCCATCTGATAACATTGTGCTCAGACTCAGCAGGGGTTTTCTTCTGGATTCCCATAGGTTCACCGACCTCTCGGATATCCAGCGACTGATGCCGTGGCGGTTGATAGTACGACAATTACTTGCTCCCGCGTCCTGCATGGCGACCGAAATTTCATTACACTGTAACCCAATGTCGTTAAGACAAGCTGACAAAAGTTCGGCACGCAAGGGCATCCTGAGATGCTTGCCTGAACGTGGGCTGGAATGACTTCTCGGTTGCTAATCGGGGGAGACGCTTGTTACGTTTCCCGGTAAGTTAATGAAGAAAGGACAGCCTGCCAGGGAATGATCAGAGCCGACGCACGTATTCCAGTATGAGCGACAATCCGGGAAGGAACCACACCACTTGTAATATGATTTTGTATATATATATATATATATATATATATATATATATATATATATATATATATATATATATATATATATAATTAATTTGAGAATGCAGTTTAAACCGTATCGTGTAAGTGGATGGCGAAGCCTGACTCACTTAATTACCCCATCTTGGTGCCAGCTCGGTGGTCTAAGTTTGTCACTTTCCACCGAATGTTTTGTCGGCAATGTTTCAGGACGTGTTGGATTTTCACCCTGCAAACGTCATCCCTATAATAAGCCACAAATGTGGCGCATTAGCGAGTGTAACTCGGCACTGACTTCATCTCGGTGCAGCATTGTAGTCCAGAGGATGAACGCGGCGGACAGCTGGAAACCTGGTATTAGCGAGACGATACGCGACGAGAGTGGACAGCCCATCCATAGCTTGTCAAGCCGCTTGGGGTATTGGGTTGAACCTTTTGAGAAGCCGTTTAATCAGTCAAGGTTGCCAGTTTCTCCATCGGACAATGAGCGCCCTACTCCCTGGGGCGTTCCCTTGGATGCACTTTCGCGCGCAGAAATCGAACGCAAGACCAGACGGTTGCAATTGAAGAAGGTCACCGAAGCAGACGGACTTCATCCAGCCCTCTTCAAATTTGACGAATCTGATCTTTTGAACGATTTACATAACTTATAGTGAGTCTATAGGAAAAGGATACTATCCCGACAGACTGGAGGTGCTCCGTGATGGTTCCAATTTACAAGGGAGGCTCTGGTTCCGAATGCGGCAATCATAGAGGAATCAGTTTGCTCTCCATTACCTCCAGGTTGCTTGCGTATGTCGTCCTTCATAGACTGACTGGCACACGTGAAAGCCAGATGCACGAGGAGCAGGCCGGGTTTCGTCGAAATCGAGGCTGCATCAATCACATCTTTACTTTACACCAATTGCTGGAGCACCGCTATGTACATTGGCAGCCCACCGTTGTCGTGTTTCTCGATATCAAAGGTGTCTTTGATTCGGTTAATCGATTTTCCTTTCGGGACTGTTTACTGAGGAATGGCGTGCCCAAAAATATCTAAAGTCATAAGAACGCTTTACGCGCTGCGTTCGGGCATAGTGCGGGTTTATGGTAAACTTTCGCTGCTCCTTAGTATCTCCAACCGTGTGAAACAAACTTGCTCGCTGTCACCTTTCCACTTTAGCTTCGCCATTGACGAATTCATGCAAACGGCGCTCGCTGGATACCACCTAGAAAGTGTGGAGCTGCTCCCAGTTGAACGACTTCTCGACTTGGAGTATGCCGACAATATTGCGCTCACCTGTGACACTCTCTGAACGTGCCATGCTACACTGGATAAGTTAGCTCTGGCTGTCGGTTGTTTCAGGCTATGCTTTACATCATCGAAATGCCAACTTTTTCTCCAAGTTTGGCATTGACCCGTGGCAGTGATAATTTAGAAGTCCTCGATATATTCAAGTCTATGAGCAGCCGTGTCAACGCCAGTGGTACGGAAGATAAGATTACGAACCGTATAGCAAAAGTTCGATGCGCTTTTACTGATCTTCACCATCTGTGGCCTCGGCGTGACATTACTCTCGCTCTGAAGTGTAGAGTTTACAAATCAACCGTCTGTACAACCCTCCTGTACGGTTGCGAAAATTGACCCATCAAGTCGATAGACATAAAGAGCTTAGCTACATTCGATCATCGCGATCTTCTCAGCATGGAGGAGTATAAAGAAGCCAACCTCAAGCTTAGCATCCGTCGGACCGGTCCGTCTTCCAGGATAGGGACTACGCGATTTGGACTGCCAGTGGTTAGAAACCTTTGAGGCTGTGGCACCCAATAGACATCAGTGAAGACAATGCTATAAGTTAACGTGTCATACAACATAAAACTCCACAACACAAAAGATCGCAAAACGGCGTGTGTAAAACCAGAAAATCCTTTTTATCACATGTATTTTGTTACCCTTTTTATTTCTCCATGTTCCTGGTGGTACATTATCTATACTCAGATTGTGGTTGACTGTATCCTTTTCTGTATTTGCCTCTGATACTGCGAACATCCACAAGACGGTTGCGCCTATTGATAGGCCATGGGCAGCTTGCGCTTTACCAACCACAACTCCATCCACACACCCCATATCCAGTGTGAACCGTAGGGAATAAAATCGGGAGGCCTGTAGATGGGAGCGGCCACTAATTCGGAGCCGGCCCCCAATCTTTCAACACGCGCATCATTCATTTGAACATGGGGAATCATGCAAACCAGAGGCACACAGGGCGGTGATTGGGTAGTTACCCGTTCCACGTTGATGAACTGCTGTTTGTGTCTAGCACCTCGAACATGGGGCACTCCGTCTCACCGCTCAGCACCGTCATTTCACGCACCAGGCTCCGATGGCTCGGCCACGTGTTGCGCATTCCAGCCCACCGACTTTCACGACGTGTGTTGTTTGCTCAACGGGGATGTGGATGGAGGAAGAGGAGGGGTGGTCAAGCGATGACTTGGTCCAGTGGAATGAAGGCCCTCACTTCGGAGCTGGCCTCGGTTGGAGCCTCTCGGCTCCCTGGTTGGGGTCCGAAAGACGATGAACACGTTTGGCTAGATGCACTTGGTGACATGGCAAGGAGCCGACCTCAGTGGCGTTCGTGTTGTGAGTTTCTTTGTCCCTCCCCATCCCCCCAACCACGATCTCAATTCGTAGCGTAATATAATTTTACATAATAATTTTGCTTTTTGCCTAGTAGCCGGCTGGTAGCTTACCGGAACGATGCCTATCCGTTGTTGGTAGCTCAGTTGGCATGCAACTGTTGTATTTATTTTCCTTTTCCTTTATGTATTGCGGCACAGTAGCTAAGGTGTTTCCCACCTCTAGCTAACGTGTATAATGATGATGTATGATAATGACTCCGTCTCACCAAGCAGTGTGTTTAAAGTCTCCTGGAGCCAGTAATTGAGGTCACACAGCCAGACCGGATATTAATGAACAACCGTTTTCACAATGCGACAATCTAAACACACGCATGTACGAACCAAATGTAGCGACAATGCAGCACTCATGCCACCTCGGCCTCATTATCGGCCTGCGTTAGTAAATGGAATCGGGAGCATTGGATTATTTCCCCTCATGGCAACGTTGATAGATTACCAAACCGGCTTGGCTGAGGCCCACACTATCACGTTAGCTATGGCACCATGTGCTTGACGTTGATAGGCTAGGATCCATTGATGCCAATCATTTCCGTCCCCAGCATCGCTCTTCCTTGTGCCGTAGTACCTCCTCATGTTCCTGTGTAACTGCATTCTTCGTATGATCACGCCATTGACGGCGACGCACTGCGATTGCGTCCCTATATATAAAGTCATCATTAATTTGTGATAAACCCATCTTGTTCATGTACTGGTAGCGTACCTTAGGGATGCCCACGTTCGGTCTGTGCGCTCACAACTTCGTCGATGAATTCTTCACTCAACTGAAGCTACAATAACCTTGATGTTACAGGAACATGCAGTGCCGTTTTTTGGTTACGGTACCGCTCATACAGTGCAAAGGTATACTCGAGCCACTTCATGCGCTGAAGCGCATTGACAATTATAGTTCATCATACTTTCCGTTTCGGATGGTGAAACTGTGACGCATAGAATTTTATTGGTTTCTAAACCAGTTCCTTTCTGGAACTGGCTATAAAGTGGCCCCAACTTTTTCATTGGTGTTTTTGTACAAAACCTTACTTTTGGCTTCAATGTCATTATCCCCAAGTAGCTAGGGTCAGTGTTTTATGGGGCCAGAAATGACCCCCATATCATTTCCCCAATATCCTCTGTGAGAGTCGGTTGTTTATTTTCTGCCTCGCTCCTGGCAACTTGTATGTAATCCAGTTGACTTTTTATTTTTTTTGGCCACTTCATCGCATAGCATACGCACTGACGTAGCTTAGTACCTCGGGGTTTATGCATCAGCCACAGCAACTAGCAAGATCCACTTCCACACTGATGTCTCCATCTTCTTTGCTAATGTGGCAGCGATTGGCTTGCTGGCTTAAAGGTTCTGTTTTGTCACTGTACATTGCTCAAGTGGTTGTCACTGTTGCTCTGCTTACAGTTTATGCGGCCCATAGCGTTTAGTGTTTCACCTGTTTTAACTTGGCACACATCACTGATGTCACTTGGCAAGCGGATCCCTTCCCCCGTGCGCCTGTTTGCCTCACACGCTCGCCTGATCCCCATTTTCCTGATTTTGTTGGTCACTTCCCGCTGACCGACTGTCGAAGCTTCAACTGCCAGATTTTATACCGCATACCTCGCTCAGATCTAATTTAAGACAAAAATCTTTGCCTACAGCCACATTCTTTATGCCTCTAATGTTGACGAACGGTTTTTCTCGACCATCTACAATGGAGTTTTGTTCATCGACCGTGTGCGTATCCAGCATCATTGGTAGGTTGCTATTCAGTGGTTGGATAAACACATTTTGATTTTTGTTTGTGGTTTCACCTACTGCAAGTATTTGTCAGATTTTTGCATTTTGTTAAATTATGCTCTTTTTTGCTCTTTGGTCTTGGTTCTGCACATCCCTTACTGTATTGTTTAAGATGAAGAATAATCCACGTTTGTGGGTCCCGGGTGCTCACACACGATTCTTCTGCCCTTTGTTCCTGCAAATTTTCTCGCATCGTTCACATGGCACACTTTATTGAATGCTGTAGCGCCGCTTTATGGCACACTTTTACGCCTTTTCTCGCAGAACACGAGCGGTCGACGTCGATCAGCGCGCCTTACTTACGTCACTTGAGTTGAGTTTTCCATTCCCCTTCTCAGCGAACTTGCATTTCTTGGGTCAAAGTCACCATTGTAGATAGATCAAAGGCATTTTCCCACTTGCTATAGCATCAGAAGCAGCCTCATGACGTGTGAAATATTCTTGCCGCATGCGAGATTGGCGTGCTGGTGGTAGCCTTCGGTCCAGCTTAACCCACAACCAACTTTTCGTCTGGTTTCACTTTACTCCTTCATCTACTGCACCTGAGTACGGAAGGAGTTGGATTGATCCCCACTAATGTTGCACACTTCTTGGTGTGGGCAGTCTGTGTTGCTGATCCCTCAAGGTCCAAACGGCATAACTAGCGATATACTGACAGGTGTGTACTGGCTCTACTGTCCACTTTGTGTCCAATCACAGTTGATCAGCTGTGTTTGCGATGCGGTGAGTCAGCAGTGCACATTAATCATTATCTCTCCTGCTTGTATCCCACACTCGTGTTTAGGATCCCGCCGGTGTGTACTACACTGTCGATGTGATGACCTCAATCATCGACAGTGACGACAAGTGAGTTTAGCATACACGACTGACTGGAATTCGTTTCAGCGGGGTTTGCGTAGGATCTTCTCGTGGCCGTAAATCTAAGATGGCCCCACGGGACGCAACGCTCGAAATGCATAAGGTATGTTCTCATTTCAATCGAAATGTGTACCTCATCATTTCCTCAGACCAGTGGTTTGATCACGTACTTTTTTTACAAGCGTCTCAAGTACATTTGGAACGAGGAGCGAAGTCAGTTCTGTCTTTTGAGGTCAGTAAACTCAATTGAAGACTTTCAAAAGTTATTGTCCTGATTGGACATTTCATATGTTCAGCTGCCCATTCAACCCACGTTGCTATATTACTCCTCAGCTATCTTAGCCCATAGTTCATTTAAGTGATTTTGAGCGTCCAAAGTTTCTTATTGTTATTTTGGTTGACAGACATTTTCCCTGCGTTTACTCGCCGTTCCTGGGTAGGTGGCCTCGCTATTTGCGCCCATTTCCCACATGTACATAACGCCGGTCTCAACGAATTATCATGGATAGGCTATTTCTGCCTCTAGTTGCACACAAAAATAACTTGCTTTGGAATACTACAATACCAACTCACATTCCCATCCCACATGGGACTTTATCAGGCCTTCATTCAAAATTTAGAATCAAGGTTGTCAGAGCAAGATCATCATTATTTATATCCTGCAGTTTTTGATTCTTCAACCCGCTAGCCTCTTTCTTCGACCCCCTGGTTCACGGTTGGGTTACGGTTGATCGGTGCGTGTTTCTCATAGGCCTACTCTCTTGGACACTGCCCTCTTTGGCACACATGTTGCATCATTGATCTGTTTTGTTCCAGCGAATCGAATGGGCGCCCGTATTGTCAGCTCTTTCCTCCTCATCCGCTTCCTGAACCCATCGTTTTACACCGACGTACTTTGTACGAGGCGAACGAAATCGCCATCCATTTGACGCCTGTGATCAAGATGTTGCTAACCGAGGTGAGTTCCGTAGAACACGTTTTTTTATTCAGCTTTGTTTTAAAGCACTTTTCCCCACAGCGGACAGATTTGAGGCCGGCCCGTGTCCTTAGGATCCATAAACTTGCCCTGTAATCCTGAAGTCCCGGATTCGAGCCTACCTTGTGGATCGGGCGACTCGTACCACGGGTAGTGGTTGCGCAGCAACCAAACGTCCGTATTGCGTACTAGCGTATTGCTGATGTCTTTGACAGATTCAAGTCACTGTGTAGCTGACTGGGGCGTGAGATATGCATGCGACGCAGAGTTTTGTCGCTGCGTGGTGATCACTTGCGTACCGACATTTTATCTAATTCTCGACACACCCCCAAATTGGTGTTTGCTGCACGCATCCGCCATCCTCTGCTAACCGTTGGCTCTCCTAGGCCCAGCAAAGCGTCACCAATCTTCTTAAGCTTGTTGTGCCAACCTTGTCATCACGACAAGTGGATGCTTTGCTTGTGCTATGCACTGTGTGCTTCTAATTATCGATCTTAGGACCCGCTGATATTGTCTTCTGCTTCACATTGCTTCTTGTGCGGAAACTGACAGCCACATCAGCGATTAGGCGCTCCACTAGCCATTGGTGTTGCTACATTCGCTCCCCTGTTTCGACGACTTTACTTCCTTTTTATTAATATTAAAGTTGATAACCTGATCCGAACCGAACTGCGGTTCATTGTTGCATGCGGATAGACTACGGAATTAGCGATCTCGTGGTTCCTAGTTTGTTTTACTGCGATAGCAGCCTTGTCAGTTAACCGCGCACTTCGACCATTTGCTCGCCCATTGTCAAGAGCTGAACAGTGTCCCAAATAATCTGACTTTCACATCCGATAGCCATCACCTCGTCTCACTTTTCTGGATCCGAAACGCCCCCCATCCTCACGCAGAGGTGTTCGCAAGAGCACCTATAGGAACCTTAAAGAAAGTCGCGTTTTTGCCTTTCATATATAAGACCTCTCGGTTGGGCACTCCAGGTGGCGACTTGAGGATCGCAACTGTTGTCCCAGACTAAATCCACTTTATCAGTTACTCCCCTTTAGCATTGAGGGAAATGCTTGCTCTCCGTGCACTCAGACTGAAGTAAACTTTATTCTAGTTCAGGTTTAGGTTTGTTCTCCGTGCCGAGCTATTTCGTTGCAGACGTTTCATCACCAATCGAGGTGACTACCTCAGTGTGTACTAAGCAAAAACTGACCGATGAGAGAGTGATGTTTGAACTCATTGCAGAGATTGTCATGCAAACGTTAGAGGAAAATCTACTCCCAGTCTTGAACCCAAAATTTTGGGTCAGATATGTTGACGACACGTTCGTACTACTCAAACGCAGCCAGTTGCAGATCGCACAAGACTTGCTGAACGATGCAATGGACAGCATTCACTTCACCATGACGTCAGAACCGGAAAACATACTGCCTTTCTTGGACGTACTGGTAACTAGAACAGCGGACGAGGAACTACGAACTTCAGTTCACAAGAAAGGCACACACACACACAAATCAAATTCTAAATTTCAACAGCAACCATCCAAAATGTCACAAAACCAGCTGCATACGAACCTTGTTTCGTAGGAAGAAGGGCACATGTTTGATCGGGAGAGGACGGAAGTCCTAGCGAAGGAAAGAGAAGAAGAGGAGGGTGAGAATTTCTCTAAGCGTGGTTTTCTACGGGGAACTTGATAAACCTGCACATTGACTTAGACCCGATCTAGCAGCAACTGCAAAAATGAACTTAAGGCGGGTCATTCACCACATGAGTGTAAAAGAGGTGGCGATCGAACTGCAAACTAGCAATAGTCACGAGACGTGAATCGAAGTGGCCAAGTTCAAACATCACTCATCGGTCAATTTTTGCTTACTACGCACTGAGGAAGTCATCTCGATTGGTGTTGAAACGTCTGCAACGACATAGTTCCGTTCGGAGAACAAACCTGAATCTGAACAGACAACCTGAGATACAGGTATTTCGCTTTATTCTAGTTTCCTTCTGACTTCCATTCAGTTAGACTAGGGGTGTCCAAACTTTTCACAAGGAGGGCCACATTTTGTACGGTAAAAATATGTCGGGCCATATTCAGGCTAACAATAAGTACACATATATGAAAAATGCGAATGACTGAATTTATTATTTCATGATAAGGCCGCGGGTCAGTTGTAATGATAATACCGCATTTGGCCCGCGGGCCGGACTTTGGACATACCTGAATTAGACCTCTCAGATGGATACAGCGACCCAATTGTGTCATTTGCACCCCTTCCACACGCAGCCTTATCCCCCTCGCGTCCCACCACTGCGAAACTGAAGCTATAGGATGTGTCGTGAGATTGCACGACCTGCTCTCCTTAGATCTAGCTAGGATGCTCCATGTTGGCATGACTGACCACTATCTGCTCACGAATGCTCTGATTGCGGAACAGAATCTTTGCAATTTTTCGACGGATTGTAGTCAGACGCGCCAGCCGTACTCCCCAACTGCTTCGGAGTCATATCTGTTCCCCCAGTGATTCACACTGCATCCGTTGCGTTCACTGACTTTCACACAAGTTGTAGGAACACTAATCCTCACTGAGGGCAATGCGTTCGCTTGGTTGCTTAGCAGTTGTCGGGTTTGTTACATCTCACATGCATACAGTGGTTGTGTGATCACACTCCCAGCGTGCTCCCTCGGTCTCCTTCGGAAACGGGTTGCGCATGCTTTGGGCACTCAAACACAACTTCTGCATTTAGTGTAAAGAGATTACCATGCGCCTCTTCTCTTCCATCAAAAACCGATGCTCAAGTACTTAGCATCCGCCTATTGTCCGATCGCCCTTGGCGAGGTACAAAGACTGGAACATATGCAACATGTGGTTACCAGGCTTATCCCAAGTTTACTGGGTATGCCGTACGATGACCGATGCAGACGACGGGCTTACACCCTGTCTTATCGTCGGGTTAGTTGACCTCATTATCACGCTTAAGATATTGCGTCTGGGTCACTACCCCATGCTGAGACCACTACTTCACATGCACGCACCAAGCAGCGCACTTGGACACTGCTGCAAGCTAGTGGTGCTGGGCCTAACTGGGATAGTTGACGCACTGCTTTTCGAGCTCCGAGGGGTTCAATATTGGAACAGTTTTCCTACGAAATCGGTGTCGGAATTCATGCAGTTCCTAGACACCCACTTTTGCGGATCTCAGATAAAGATAGCGCATCGCACCCGATTGACGCAAATGTACTATTCAGCAGATGCTCAGAAATCAGTGACCTGACTCTGTGCATGTACCCGAAGTAATTACGATGGAGCAACACAGTCGCATGTCTATTAGCTCTTTATATTCAGTACTCAGTATTCACTGGGTGATACATTCTTTCGTTAGGATTCTTCTTCAGTACACATGTCCACACTCTCCCACAGCCACGGTCGCTTACTTTCGTGTGAGGGACTGATACTCCGGAATGAGCTAGCTGGGTCTCCACAATTACCTTTGCATTTTGGACACAGATTCTGGACTCTGTCAGGTGACCTCCATTATCCGCGAAAGCACCAGACCGTTGCTTCCATTTTTCTGGACCCGTTAACAGTGCTTATTCCATTCACGTAAAGAGACCGGTGATCTTAGTCACGACTGCGTTGCAGTAGGGTCACTAGTTCCGGTTTCACGTGGAGAACCGTGTGGAATGTGCATTGCTGACGAGTCCCAGAAAGACGAAATGGCCATCGTGATGATTGTTGTCTGTATATGTCATCTAAATTCCAAAACTACTGTCACATGTTACAATGCTGATTACTACCATGATATGAGCCACCATCCCACTCGACATTGGACGTTAAGGTTTTGCCCTCTGGATCAGTCCATCTTCCCAGCTAGTGTTCACATTCAAGCGGGCAACTCACGCCGCCCCCTTTTCACAGTGGTCTTCAAATGAGGAGCTGCGTCCATATTTGGTACATATCGCATATGTACTGCAATCTGCTTGAATGATCAATATGAAGTTGTGGCGAATAAAAAAAGCAAAAACAACGGTATGCTCCTCGATGATGCAGGGCACAGTCCAACTGGATGGTGCGATCATTATGTAAGATGGAATCGCATGGAGCAGATGTTTTTTCTCGTGTTTTCCGGAGCAGTTCTCAAGCTATTTTTTGGCCGTACTGGCTAAATTGATCGGGTGCATCATTTGTGCACATTGAGAAGATTGTCAAGAAATAAGTACATGTGGACAAATCCAAATGTATATGTTAACTAATACGATCATCCATGGAACCGTTTCCTGGGAACCTGTTTCCATGCGGGATATTCTCTCGATGGATTCCCCCCCCCCCCCCAATTTCATACCCTATCTGATCGACCCAGTCGTGGCCAACAATGAAGTAACAAAGAATATAAACTATGTGGAGGTAGAAGTGTAGTAATAGTAATGATATCTAATAAGGGAATATCATATTTTTCTCCTGCGTAAGGAAGACCAATCAATCAACATGTACAGGGGAAGTTTGGACAACAGATGACTGCTCGAATTATCCATATACAAGACAGCTAATCTGTCGGTATCCCATGAAGTGGAACAACACAATTGCCTGGCGTTTTTGGATATACTCATTAGGAGACGTGCTGAAGGCACGTTGCAGTGCAATGTTCACCGCAAATCGATTTGGAGTGGACAGTACCTTCTTTCTTCAATCTTCATCCCGATCGCATACAAACGCGCCTTAGTGAAAACTCTCTTCTACCGGGCTAGACGCATTTGTAGTCCCGAAACGTTAAAAGCCGAAGAAGAAAGTATACGCAAGACCTTAATTTCTAACGGATATCCTGAGAAGTTTATTCAAGTACATAGCAGACCTCCCAGCGTGCAAATACTGGTGTTGACGGCTGAGAAAAAGGATGTTTGTTCTTGCCGTTCAAGGGGGACCATGTGGCAAATGATATCAGACGCAAGATCCGGTCCGCCCTAACGCATACCTACACGACAGCCCATTTGCGACTCAGGCATACCACGCGAGGACTTATTCTTCAAAACCGTCAGAGCATCTTGTCGGGTCGTTCAGCCTTCGGTGACATTTACATAGGCAGAGGGTAGCTGAACATTTACCTAAGTGGTTCGGACAAGTGGTTACGCAACAAATGGGACGGATCTGAGAATTAATCGGAGCCCGGCATCGTCTATCACCAGGCGCCTCATGGCAACGCGTCATTACGTGAACCCCGAGACAGCGTTCAAAGTGTTATTATTTAACAGAAACCCGATAATGCTGGCAATTAGTGAGGCCTTGTTAATTAGGGCTTATCAACCTGTGCTTTGTGCACAGAAACTTGAGGCAATCAATTCAGTTGCCATGGTCTTGACTGTGACATTTTGGTTGATGTTGCTTATTTTTCCATGTATATAATCCTTAGTGTGTTTCTGCTCGTATTGTGTTTGCGACTGAAGAGAACAATCGAAATGTTGACATATCGCAACCTCTGTCTTCTCTCTGCCTTAACGAAATACAAGACAGCTTTGAAAAGTATTTTCAAGTCCATCATCAGGAATCGATATCACTAAGCAATGAGATTTGCTTACTGTTTCTGGGCTGTCGCCTCTGTGAAAGAAAAAAATTGTTGTGGTTTCCGCTGAATGCACGGATAACCTGCCTGCATCTGCTTTGCTGTCCCCAACTAGTTCAAAGCGCCACGAAGTGAGAACGCCAAGACCAGCCGGACCGATGGATTCGGATTCGTATTGTATGAGCATGGCGCAATAAATAGGTTGTAGGCAACTACTAACACAACAAGATCGGAGATGCTAATTAATATTAATTAGCACGACTCAAACGGTTCAAGTCCAACTTGCCGCTGATCCCAAATATATTCGCCTTTTGTTCTCTACTCTAATCCAGACTATTGTAGATCTATCCACTTTTGCGCCACTGCTTTCTGCTTGAACGCTTGGTGTAAGCTCTCTCTTTCTCCTTAACAGCAATATTTACCATTACACTGCGAATACAAAAAACCGAACCATACGTAAAAGTAGTTTGTATCTCGATATTGCAAGACACATGAACCATGTGGTTACTCCGACCGCATTTGCAATTGGATCTTCAGGAATTGGTTATGTTCAAGATGCAGAAGAAATGTGGTTCCGAGTCGGTATTTCAGTGGCTCAACTATTTGGGGCAGCCAAGGTGTTCGCGAAGGGATATCGACGGGTTTCAGTAATCGCTCTGTAGTTTGTGTGTTAGCAATACGTAAGACAGAACAGCTATTTAAATCATCTCATAATGTCATTGCGAGTCGAGATCCTATCTATCATATACTGATGTCTGCTATGACGTATGTTGAACGCAGCGTCCAGAGTGATGTTCAACTGTCTGACGTCTCTGTCTGCGGTCGGCTGTGACTAATAGCGTAGCACGCACCGTCCTTCCGCCTCGTCCAGCTACGGTCTCCTTGCCTATCGACTCCTTGCGCCATATCACAGTCAGTTATGCCAACGTTTTCGATTTCAGTAACTGCGTTCACCTTGAAGTTTCCTCTTTTTCTTTGATTGTATTTGCGTCCCCCTTATTGCATCTACCTCACCCCCCCTTTATTATCTGCTTGTTTCCCTTCATTTCACCAATTGATAGTGTTTGAACCCGTTCTACTGCTTCCAAGTATTCAGCTGTATCCTCTGGTTCTTTGAAGAGTACTGGATGTACGCGACGTGTATCATCGTGCTCTCCATCATTTCTCTGTGCATGCAAGTGTATGATATGCGGCGGGTAAGTCTTGCTCTTATCTCACGGAATACTCAGCTAGATTTGTCCATAATAGCTTCGTTCGTTCGCTATGTTTAGCTGTTTATTGGCCCTCGTCGACGAATTGGGTACCAATGTAACTGTCTAGGAACGGCCTGCTGCGCCGTTCATTTTCTTTCGATACCGCTTTTACCTCATCTTGGTCCAGCTGCCCCTCACTACATTTTGGAAAAAAACAAGATATACGTTTCTTTGCAAACACTAGTTGCTTCAATCGTCAATTTCACAACATTGCTAAGCAAGTTCGCTAGGTTACCCGCATTTCATGACCGTTTGATTGCTTGTTAGCAATTGACAAATGAAACTGTCCGCTTTGGGACTCGAATCTATGACCTGGCAGCCACTGGTGTCTCATACAATGCTTCATAAGCATCGTCCCTCGAACATCTGAGAGCACCTGAGATCTTTAGACCGTTGAGGCGAAACTTCACGTCCCTAGGGAAGAGCTGCCCTCTTCGTGGTTTAGTCTAAGCAAGCGTCTGTCCAACTCCATCACTGCCGTGGCTTCACGAAGAATGTTCCAGCTCTCACAATACGTGATACGTAGTTCCATCGGTCGTACACCCGTCCTCTCAAACGCAATTTCCAATATGGGAGTTCGAATCATCTACCACAGTATTGACAAATGGCTAGGAACCCCACAGAAACTGCTGCATGTTGAAGGCGCGAAGCGTTAGTTGGACTGTCTCTATTTCTTCAGGCGGCAATTTGGTATCATCCTCATCATCCTGATCAGCGAATTTCCACCAGGCAACGTCTCTGTTTGCCACGTGAGATTGTGTATAGGAACTCTACTATCGGACCTGCAATAAAACTTTATGAACATTGGGAAATGAGGCGGCATTGGCTGACATTATCAAACGGACCCCAAACAGACTGCTGTTTACTGAACTGCAATCAACAAACGAATCTTCGGCCCTGCGTCTGCTAACGGTGACCACTCCAGCTTGACTTCCGGTTGCATATCCGGACCCATGTAGTTAACAGCGAAAATATCAAAGTGTAGTTCACCGACCGGACGGAGGTCGTGCTTTCAAGTTTCGAAATCGCGGTGTCTAGCAGGTATGCACTGCTGTGGGGTGGGCGTCCTCGCGGTATACTCAGCCCGCGCGCGACTGGTGGTGGTCGCGCGGCAGCGAAGCGCCGTTACGGCGTATAAGCTGACACATTCATTTCATTTCATGCTCTGCTGTCCGTTGGTCTATCTGTTATGCGATACGAACGTTAGATGTCATGAAGGGTACGACACGGCGTGGCTTGCCAACGGTCTCTGTTATGGGGACCCAATGTCTTCACATTGATTACAAGCTTAAACCACGGAAGGCAATGAAACTCGATTCAGACAAGTGCACATGTTTCGATCAGCCTTCCAACTCGTGAGACATTCACCTTTCGATTGGCCTTTGTACCTCAGAAAACATTCCTACTTCCGGCCCACTCCACACTCATAAAACATGCAGCCTTTTTTACTTATGAAACATTCCGTTTTCCAGTCCAGCCTCCGCATCTACCAACATTCACTTTTCAACATGTTCCGTTGGCATATTTGCATAGTGCCAATTCAGTTGCTTCCAGGGTATGCTTACGCAAATCATTGGCGCCATCATGGTATAAGAGAAACGCTGGACTACGCTGTAATCGCCTTGAGCCTGCTCAGTAAAAGTGCCTACGCAAAAGGCGCCTCTTTTTGCCATGTTCTCTGGGGTTTGGGTAGCTGCGTGTGAAATTGCGTTCGGTCTAGGAACCCGTTCAACTCGCGCGTAGTAACCGTGTTGCGCCTAAGTCTCACGAATCGTGCAACTTCGGATTTTGTCGCTTACTTTGTCGTGCGTGAAATAGGTCCAAGCCACATTCGTTCTTCCGACTAGGAGAGTTGATACCAGATCGTCAGAGCGTGACGTAACCAAGAGGCAGTTCTAACAGTCTCTTCACTGCTGGAGATTTTTTCGCTTATGTAATGGTGGCGATGCAGATGTCTGAGTTTCGGCAGCTTTGTGGCTGCTGTCCTTTACTCTAGAGACTGTAGAATGGAGGTTAGTAGTGTGGGATAAGGGGGAGGAATGTATGAGAAACAAACGCATAGCAAGAGGTGTGGATCAGTTATGACGCGTTTCTCTGCTTATTCATTTTGCTGTTTTCTGCCAACATAAGGAGGCCCTTGAAAATTCACCACTACCGCCGGTTCGTCATGAAGTAGGAGTTCGTTTGACAATTCCTTGTTCCTTCCGGGCTCCGATAGTATCAGGGCTTCCAAACTGTGACAGTCCGTGATGGACAACGGCTTGTTTGCTTGGAACTTTTGCTTTCCCATTTCATAGAGATTGTGTTTTGTGAACATTCGTCTTCAACATCAGTAGCAGTAGCAGTATGTTTTTAGTGTCTATTATTTTTATAGAGTAATTATATTAGTATTACGGTAACTGCAACCATAATACCAGTACGTCATCCTGCTCTGTCCTCTCTGTTCCCACACTGTCATGCAGCTAACTGCCCCTGTTTCAGGGTGGTGTTACTTACTCATAGTACATGTCAAAACGAGCTAGAAGCCTGGCGAGTAGTAAATTTACTTTCCTACCTGTTCGTTGATTCGTCAACTAGCGCTCGCGAAATAGGAGCGCATTTGATTGCTTTAAATTCGACATCTAGCTGAAAGGCTGTCATTGTGAGAACAGACTTTGAATCTTCAGTGCGCTTACTCACATATATCTCACACAGATTTTGTTCAGTTTGCACTAATCAAAACTCAACCTTGCTCTGAGAGCAGGCTTATACATCTCGATTTGCAACTAACGGTGTTCCCGTGTAACTGTTCCAATCAGACAGTGAGGTGGTGTTGTACCTCCTTGTTTAATTTCTTACGGAGCGGATTCCTCCGAAACAGCCGACGCATTTTTTGTTTTTTGTTTTTATTTGCCTTCTGTTCACTCTTCAGAATGACATCGCACTGAAAAAGACGATCTGCAATTCTTCCTTGGTTACCGTTTGTCGCGAGGTCAACGGGATATCTGGTACGTTTCATGTGTGTGTGTGTTTGTCAGTTTCTCAATATTCTGACGGACTCAGGGAGAACAAACGCGAGTCGGTGTTGTCGATTGCTCATCTGGGTTATTTTCGTTTCTTGTTGGACTTAGCAACACAAGATTTCTATCCTTAGCGGAGCGTTATTTACTTTCCTCGCTCCCAACACAGTATTCCACTACCGATTTCGCCCTGATAGAGCGAATCCGAGGTGGTCGCACAATCGAACACATGGTTAAGCATTTCTGGATTGCCTGCCATTCGCGTGATTGGTTCTCTAGGTCAATGTATTCATAAGGTTACCGGTCTCATGACAATGTGCGAAGACTGTCTTTTGTTAGACATACGCCTCAGACAACACGGGAAGTGTACCCGAAATTCATTCTTTGATTCTTATGTCGTTCCGTGGGGACCAGTTGCACTTGTTTCGACAGTTCTTTGCTCACACAATACAGACGTCTCAGTCCTGTGTGATGATTAGGCTCATCGGCGAAGCGCCTCATTTTCTGACAGTTACTTAGCCAAAACTATTTTAAGTAGCTGTAACTCGGACGGTCGTCTCTTCGTGCTTAGCATTGTGAGGTTAATCGTGCCTTATCAGGAAATTTTTCTTATCGGTTCGTCAATGCACTATGCTCCTTCAGCTTTTTTCGCCGTTGATTCAACTGAACTGGTTCCGGGTGACATCATCGAAATACCACGCATCGGGTGTATGATGCACTGTGACGCGTTCGTATTGACTGGCAACTGTATAGTCAATGAAAGCACACTGACCGGTGAGTTTCGTTCACACCATTTCAACTTATCACCGCATCGGTATGATATGATTTGATGCTGCAAGCACACCGCCTCTAAATCACCTTTTTATCATGACCTCCAATTTGTTACGAATCTCAGTAGTGTTGTGGTACAGCCGTCTTCACTTCATTGCTGCCACAGATCAACAATGAAGATTAGAGCACTTGATAATGCCATACGGTCACGAACAACTGACCGTTACGTCAGCGCACCAACGGGTGGTGGTGCATTAAGCTACCGTGACTCAAGTCGTCACACTACGAAAGGAAAGAGACATGATCAGGTGCCCGCATCGCCGTAAGAAGTCGCTTGTGATCAAGAATAGGACAACGAATGCAAGAGCTGTACTGACCCTGCGATCGGGCCACATCAGAATGAATATCCGACGTAGGTGCAGCCGATCCCGGAGCTTGCTGGCAGTCATTTGAGGGTATAGCGATTACCGTAGATGGTTTAGGTAGCCACAGTACTGGTAGTAGTCTATACTAGTGGTACTGGTAGTCGTGGCAGTAGTCGCGGCTGTTGTTGTTCGAAATACTTTGGTACACTGATAACCCGGGTTGGTTGCTCACCTGTTGCTCGTTTCTCCGAGTTTGTTGTTGTTGTCGCCGTCGTTGTTGTTGTTGTTGTAATAGCACTGGATTTAGCAGTAGTGCTTGTAGCAGTCATATTAATAGTTGTTCTGGAAATTATTGTAGTTTTGGCAATAGCCGTAGTGATTTTTGCTGTTGTCGCTGCTGTTGCTGCTCTTATTGTTGTGGTAGAAGCCTGCTTGTTTATCCTTTTGAGCGAAAGGCGCCAGAGAACACCTGTGTGTTTATAATGCCCACCGCTAGCAGTGCACCACCTTACACTCCCGCATCCAGCGCCTTCTTAAGATATACAACTGAACGGCATGCTAGATTGTTTCGGCACTTGCTCCCTCCACATACCCCCTGCGTCACTGGGGAGCGGGTCCTTCTGCTTGGCGACCTTCGCAGGCTCATAATAACACTCAGGTATTGTGGATGGCATATACACCACAAGAACGCACGCATATCTCTGCTGTCTACTCGTTTCCTACTCGGCCAATTACTGACTCTTGATGCACTCTGCCATACACCAAATTGAATCGATTCGACACTGTACCATCGCACAGTCGCGCATCCAAAGGGAAGGCAGCGCTCCATGCACATGTCTGGTAGTCATGGTTCTATTGTACACTGAGGACGTACCTATACTCTGCCGCTTTTCGATGCATGTTTTGATAACATTATTATTATTATTTATGCACGTCACCGTCCCAATTGGTACTTATTCCTTTCACTTGTCAAACAGGCGAAAGCGTGCCAGTCACTAAGACGCCTTTGCCCGAACGACAGCGCAGGGACGACGTTGTTGCAAACCTTCCCACAGTGGCCAAACATGTCTTGTTCGGTGGGACTTCTGTCATCCAGACACGTAATTACGCAGACGAACGTGTACTTGCTATGGTCGCCCGCACTGGATTCCGTACGGCCAAAGGTGAACTGGTTCTGTCCATTTTGTACCCGAAACCGATGAAGTTCAAATTCACTCAGGACGCCCTGCGTTATGTCGGTGCTTTGGCTGGGATATCTGTGATCGGACTCGCAGTTTCAGTGTACCTTATGGTGAGGTCATCCACTTTTCGTGTGCGACTTCTCGGCCTAATGTAACCGTTTGTGTTTTGTACTCAGCAGGCTGTCATAGATAGTCTCAATCTTACAATCGTCACTTGTTCGTTCCTTACGGTACTCGTCTTTTGTGCCTGCGATGCCTTTGCTAGCCGGCTTTAGACGATGACTATACTGGAAGTTGACATAAGTAATCGGCCACTTGTGAGATAACAACACGCACCAGTGCTCTGGACAGTCCCCTCACTCGCAAAATCAACTATCCTCTCTATAAACATTCTTCTGTTCGAACACCCTCCATACTTCCTTGTTTCTTCACGATTTAAGATATCAGGTTCTCTGAACTGGCTGCCAAGATCGAATTTGTTCACCAGGCGTTTGCCCATTATCGAGCGTACAGGCTCTTAGGATCGAGCAGTTGGGTTGCTGCCATCGGAGCTACGGCTTTTTTTTACCTTCACCTTTAATCATTCCATTGGCTAATTGCTAATGCTTTCTTGAAACATCTTATACTACTTTTAACAAATGTGGCTAGCAAGTTTGCTAACTGACTGTAAACTGGTATTTTCCTGGGTTCATGATTTCAAACGCCATCGCTGATGATATGACAAGCTTGTTTTGCATGAGGTCCACGGTATGCTCTCACATGAGTTCTTCGGAAGCCTCACTATTCGACGACCGTCAACCGGCTGTCACGTGTTCACCTATTGCTGTCCCACTGTACTAACAGGCTTTGCGCTGCCCAGCATTGATATTATTTTGCGTTACGTTAATCCCCGATTCTACCGCCTCACTGAGGCTGTCGCAGTATGCGGGATGAAGTCACCTCTCTACGTTCAAAAGCGGTTCTTAATCAGCCTTAGCCTGCCACATACTAAGGGGACTGAACCTCCGGCCCATCGACTATGCACCTCAAGACTGTATGGTCGCGCATACACAGTTATCTAAACCTCCGCATCTCGGTTGTTGTTGTTGTTGTTGTTGTTGTTGTTGTTGTTGTTGTTGTTGTTGTTGTTGTTGTTGTTGACACTAAATAAACCACACGAATTGCAAGCATCTACCATCTTGCGTCTTCTTTCGACGATTTTCAAATTTCTGAGCGGAACTAACTGTTTTAATGATTCACTTTATCAATGTTTGGCTCCTAGATATCGACCAAGTAGTCTGCTGGGAACACTATGTGGCCTGGTCTGATCGCTAGTTGAGTGGCCTCTTCATATTCACTCCCTTCTGCTTTTTAACTTCGGTTTTTCTCTTTCCTAGTTTTTTCTCGCAAGACACCTCATGTCGGCTAAATTCAGCCCACTTCAGTGCCGAGAATCATTGTCGATTGACTCCGATCGAATAGTGTATTGAAAGTCAGACCGATTAGCACTAACACCACCTCCACACGTGTCTAATTGCGTGATCGTGCTTGTTCCCGTTTTCGACATTTTCTTGGGTGCGCACCGCGATGTTGAATACTCTGTGTGGCCCGTCACTTCCCATCTGACACTTTGATCTGAATGCCTCCATTCATGGTTTATTATAGTAGTGGGAACTCAGCGGTTCATTCGATTTATTCTAAAATCACTTCGGCTAATGTCCGGTCTACAGCAGTACGTCAGCACACCGTACTGACGTTACGCTGCCGCACGTCCACTAGTTGTCGCTCGAGATTGCCCACACCCACACGGATTCGAACCGGTGATCTAAGGAGTAGAACGCAGGTGCGTTGTAGGAGATACTGTTCGTAGACCGCACTCGATTAACGCAGGATGTGGTTGCCAAAGTTCTCTCTGACGCTGGTTGGACATATACCTTGCTCAGTAGTTTCATATTATCCACCCAAAGTTGGGTGGCTTGTTGTTGTTGTCGTCACAACTAGTGGACTCACCAAAGTGTGTGTACTATCAGGTGTGATTGTACATGCATCACACAATGCCGTCGTTAAACTTCCCCACTTAATGTGATTTTGCTTCATACAGATCCCTGTAGTATTCTGCATTCACACTTCTCAGTTAAACAGCATTGGAGGTCAGACATAGTCTCATAAGCAGATATGCAATCCTCCCACTGACTTGTTGTTCAGAGATTGAGTGGAAAACAATGGGTCTACGCTATCTCCATGTAGCACCTCCCCCGCGCAAATTGACGTACGACTTCCGTCTTGGGTCATGCTACATTCTGATGACGGGTCTCCTTACCCGATCAGGCCATCACCATGGCTACAAGTTCCTTCCCTTTTGTGGCCACTGGTCAAAGCTCATTAGATCTCTCCTGGGTCCCAGAGTATGATTCGCCGGGTGGAGAACTCTTGTTCTTTCTCAACAATCAAGCTTCTGCTCAACCATTGATGTTGCCGCGTAAGGCGTAGGTTGTCTCGTTCGAAACACTGGAGCGGCATCGGACTTAAGGGACTGTGAAGCTTGTACCTTCGTGCACTTACCAAACCTTTTCCAAACAATTGCTGTATACCTCTCACGCAGGCGCTCAATAGCCACTTGGGGGCTATTGTTTTGTGTATCTGCACAGTTGCACGGAGTTGCAGGCCCTTGCCGTTAGGTTCGCAGGTGATTTCTCCGTCTAGCGACAAAGGGCCTCTTGGTGCGCTTTGACCCCTGCGGAATGCGGCAATCGCAATGGAGGTCTTCTGATTCGACACCTTTTGATTCCCATTCTGGCCTCCATTAGCCGTGTGGTGGGTCTGGAGTTCACATCTGGTACTTGAATTTTCACTTTTTTGTGTCCAATTCCAAAATGTGCTACTTGTAACACTCACCTGCAATGTCCTGTGACACCAGCTCTGGTTCTAGTTGACATTCTGCTTGGATGTTCAGCTTCTTTTCCAGCAACTCTGTCAATTGTTGCCGCGATTCTTTAGACATTGACTGCAAGACCTGAAGGAGAGTCTGCATTTGCCCCGAAGAGATGGCGGTAAACTGGAGTAACAGTGTTATTGTGAGAGTTTCCATCATTTGCAGCTATTCGGCCTAGAACTACTGCTGCCGCTGTTGTATCAAAATAGCTTTCAAGTCTTTGCTGTGATAACCATCTCGATTAAGTTTACTTCCCGTCGCCAGAAATATGTTATGGATTCTCCGCTGTGTACGCTATCTCCCTGTAACAGAAAGGTACTCCTCTTGGATTAATTTTCTGGATTAGTATCTTCTTAAGGGAAACGTTCCCCGGGAAGACCAATGTTTCGGCAAGTAAAATGATTTAACTTAATTATTTTTCATCGGAAATCTTTGGGAAATCCCTGTTCTTCACATGGCGCCCAAGGTGCTTGCATTTCGGCTGGACCGGTTTCGTATTACTGATATTGCCAGCTGACGTAGCTATTCCATTTATTGAAACTTTCTATACCTTTCCACGATTGCGACCAGCTTCTCAACTTATTGATACGGTGTGTTTGGGCTGTGTATTTCGACACCCGTCCTACTCAACATATTCCTGTTAAATTCACAGACACCGGATTGCTACTCATCGGAATCGCTTACATTGCTCCGTTACCAATGTTCTGCTTTTGGCTATACGTTGCATCCAGCTTTATCAACTCTTATTTCAAACCCACTAGGCCATTTCTACTTAGATCTTTCGGGTTTCCCTCTCATCATCATCTCGACGAATGGGTATCACTCGATGCTGTGGTTCCCACCCCCTTAAAGTATCTGCGCAACACACCTACGAGATATTGGTGCGAATATCGGCATGGTCTGCGACATCCGAATCTGTATTTGCCTGTCACTGTGGTCTCCGTAGGACAGCCACAGGACGCCTACGCTTAAAGGGGGACCGTGGTTGGCTTCAGCGGCACCACCCATAGCTCCATCCACAAACCCCATATCCAGTATAAACCCAAAGGTATAAGACCGGGAAGCATGCGGATGGGAGCCAGGTTTCATCAACGAAACCGGCCCACAGTCCTTCAACATGCACAGTAACAGTATTCTTAGCTGTCTGATTGAAAAGTCACCTACCAGACCTACACAAGGCGGTGGCTAGGCCGTAGCCTGTTCCACACTAAATGCATGCAACCACTCTTTGATTCTAGCACGCTCATGGGGACCGTGCATCCCGTTTCCTCCGGGAACGACCAACTGTCTCCTTCAGCCATTATATATCATTAACTCATAGACACTTGGTGTGTCACACGACTTCTGAGTCTAATTGTGATTGTTTCAGTGGTGCAGTATGCTTTTCCATGTTTCATCTTAACTCTCCGGGTCCTTCCGCTCCTGGAACTTTTGAAGTTTCTCATGGACTGGGTGGGTTGCTTCCGATGGACCGGTGCCACTCAATGCCGGTCCAATGGGATCTTTTGTTTGTTCTATTTACCTTTTCGTCTGGATCCTCTTTGATCCTGCACAAATGTTACCGCATAGTTCTCAAGTTCCATTTATCACCCCTCCCGTCCAGTCTATCTTTAACCGTTCCTCATCCTCCAATACATTTTCCTCCCCCGCACAGCACTCAGCTCAGGTTATCGTTTGGGAGATCGTGCTGCGTTCTTTGGATCTGGTCACCATAGCGGTTCCTCCAGCTCTACCTGTTGCCATGACTGTCGGTGTGGTGTTCGCTCAACGGCGTTTGCGCACGCAACAAATCTACTGCATTAATCCTTCCGCGATTAACGTATGTGGTGTCATCAATGTTACCTGCTTTGACAAGGTAGGCCCTCAACTATACCCACTTTGTCCGTCTGCTGTATTTTTCGTCTACCATTTTTCTTCTTCCGTCGTGTTGGAAGTTTTTTCCCGGAACCCCACGGTTTTCTCATTTTTCAAGCACCAGAATAGCCTGTGCTTTTTATCGATTAGCATCATCTGTTCCACCATATCCCCTGCTGTGTTTCCGTTGCGATCAGAATGAACCTTAACGTGATGGGACGGTCTGCGTGCACCGATCGATTGAGCTCTACACGGAGTGGTGCCCTCACGCCTCTTGTGAACTACTCCTACTTTTCAATATTTTGATATCAGACGAACCCAGTCTCTTGACTCTTTGGGTTGGGTATCGACATTGGAGTAGTAGGATCTATCTCCGCAAAATCTGGTCATTTCCATCTTCCCACCGCATTGCTCTCTCAGACTTTTAAGCTCGCATTCTATTATTGTTATTATTATTATTATTGCTATTATTCAACACTTGACCAATGTACAATTGGCTGTGCTACAACACCTAGTTAACAACAACAAAAGGGGAAAAACGGGTAGGCAGCGAAGGGGTTTGGAAAGTTTAGAAGGTTAATGTGTTTTGTGGGCGGAGATCTTCCTGGTTGCCCACGCAAAGGAAGTGGATAGACTTAAGGGACCCCACCCGAGTCTTTGGTCTTAAGGCCTAACCCACAAGGCAACGGGGCAATTAATTTACACCTTTGACATCCGGGTGACTCATTCGCCTTCTTTGTGTTCAGTAGCAGTCCGCAGAGAACCCGGTGGCCAGCAAGGTTGTTCATCCGCTCTCCGTTAGGTACTCGCTTCGGGTTACAGAAGTGAGTGGTCAGTGACCCTATAACCGGTCATGTTAACTTTGACACAGCGCCGTACGAATTCTTTTGGTATTTAATGGAGAACTAGGTGACCAGCCCAGAGCTCCCCACGCTCTGAGACACTGCCGCTGATTGTTCGCGTCTGCTTTTCATCTGGCCTGCAAAGCAGACGAAACTTATTCGCAGTTTCCTCCACAAGGAAGGCATTCCCCGATCCGCAACCTGGGGACGGGCCGATAGACTACAGCTCTACAGGCTTTGGTGAAGGACCCTAGTCTTTCTCCTATCTAGCTTTGGCGCCGCAGCAATATCTCTGCTTACGTACAACCATGGTTGACTCATCCAATTTCAACCACACGCTGCCACAGCCGTCGTCGCGCAGCTTCTCAAGTGTCTTCTTGTCCGTTGCATTCAGCAACGCGGATAAGCGAGCACATTCTCGTTTTGATGCTTCCCTACTTTTCTTGCTCCCATCCTAATCTTCATTGCTAACCTTTCTTCCATAATTCCCAGTTTACTTGATGACAGCCGTGAGGCCACTGCGGTCCTACCATTTGCAGCTGTTTTCCCGAGGCACTCATTAGACTCGTACCATAAACAGCCTCTTATCAGGCCATACCGTTCTGTTCCTCTGACGTCGTTCATCGTTCTTAATCTACCACAACTAGGTCAACAATCTTCACTCGCACGCAAGTTGAGGACGTTGTCGATCACAATAGCATTTCCGAAACTAGGGTCAATGATCCTCGCATTGTTCTTAACTGCGACCGGCTTAACTTATCACCATTGGTTGCACTCATCCGGAGACTCTGATGCTGCAGCCACTTGTCAAGCTAGATTGGGCATTGTTCTCAACTTCAAGGCTGCTTTATCATTGGATGATCGGATTCCCGTTAGCAACTCGTTTGATGACATCAGTTACTCTTAAGGCACAGAGTGGCATTAGACCGTGACTTTTGTTATTGTCGCTCCTGTCCCTAGATCCTGCAATTCTGATGCTGCCAAGGACCTCTTTTCACACGAACTCATCACAGTACCTCCAAGCGTTGTCACTTCAAATTCCATTCAGCCCAGATAGGTGGCAAGTTTTTGGCTTATCACTGAGCGTTTGGACAATAGCCAGCGCTTGCATTGACAACCCCAAAGCGACACAGTAAAAACTCGATAAATTGTCTGAAGGTATCCCATCATCTGGTAGGCGGACTAATATCGCAAGAACACAAGTTACCTAGCAACCCTTCGAGATCATCATCATCATCATTATACACGTTAGCTAGTGGGAAACACCTCAGCTACTGTGCTGAGATATGAGTACTAGGAACCAAAAATAAGTTATCAGTTCACCTATTTTGATAGTTTCAATAGCAAAGATAACTGGTGGGATCGCCTGCACTATCCAACTCAGTCGGCCTTTCTTCTGTGCAGTAGGTCCTTACAAATATTGCAAGGCTTCACAACAGGACACTCTATGATGGAAACTGAAGTAACCTTCAAACGAAATGGGAAAGCATAGCCACGTAGCAAGCTGTCATCCGTTTGACCTTGCCACTGTGTTTACAATCTTGTTGAGACATTCGAACACTCGTTTCTTGCGTCTTGCCCAGTATGTCGCGATCAACCGGCACTCTTGTGTATCAAAACAGCTATTCGTTAGTCTAAGGCTCCCCTGGTCTTAGGGCTCTCATATCTGTCCTCCACCTTGTCTCGGTTTTGTTCGGTCAGTTTCTTTTCTAGCGTTTGCAGTAAGTCGGAATATTGGTAGTTCAAGCTGAATGTTAAGATGTTGATTAGCTCGTTAAGCTGTGCACTTCGATTGCAGACGCTTCGTCACCATTCGTGGCGACATCTTCAGTGCTTAGTTGGGGGGACAGCTGTAGAAATCGCAATGACCTTGATCGACAGGAGCTGCACTTCACGCATATCCATCGGCTTATCCTTAAGATGGAATCGGGCTCCTATCCACTACCATACCGTGTCGGACTACACAAGGCCTTCACCGTATTTATCAGTTATCAGCTGGATGCTATCAAAAATCAACTCAGTGACATTTTCTCACACCTGTGTATTGTTGTTCCCTACCTGCGTGCACTATGGATGGATGTTGAACTTTCTGTTTTTGACAAATCTCATTCCACCCTATCTTATCCTGTTTCGTTAAGAGGCTTGCTATTCTAGCTCCTTAAGAATCACAAACACATTTGTAGTCCGAGGGCGCGGGTTCGAACCTGCGTATGGACCGGGTGACCTTCGCGCAGTATCCATAGAACACGTGCGACTGGTGGTGGTTACGCGGCAGCGAAGCGTAGATACCGCGTATCGGCGTACTGCAGATGCTTTTTCCTATTCTAACATATGGACGGTTCTCCTGGTGCGATGTTTATTTCATTCTGTCATTGTTAATTATGTACAGCTTACTCAGAGCTAGCCAAAAACACTCTCTGCGTGCATTCGAGCCGACGCATTGCATAGCTCGTTGTTTACAAACTGGTACCCCTACGATTCGGCCAGTCGCAGAAGGTATTTATCTGCTTACCTCGTAATCCAGAGGACCACAGTTCGAATCCGAGTTGGTGTGAGTCCGCCCACGCGCGACCGGTAGTGGTCGCCCGGCAACAAAGCGGCTGTACAATGTGCTGGCCTACTGCTAACGCCTACCCTGTACATGAGTTTTGCGTTTTCGGGTCGTTATTGATGTTACTCTAGCGTGCTCACGCGCCTTCCTACAGTAACCCGCTCTTTGTTTTGGTGTTGCTATTTTCTTGACATTCAAGTCTATAAGAAGCCTCTGAAATCTTTCACTTCCACTAGACTGGAACCCTGACTGAAGATGGGATGGATTTGTGGGGTGTTATTCCCAACACACAAGGGGTTTTTGGCAAAAGTCAGGTGAAGCCGAATGAATTGGATCGTGGACCGTTGTTGGAGGCGATGGCCACCTGCCACTCACTGACCCGTATCGAAGGAGTACTTTCCGGGGATCCACTTGACCTGAAGATGTTCCAATCTACCAATTGGGTAAGTTTGTGAGGTAGCCCAACAAACGGCTTTCCTTCCACTGCTTATAACTTCTTTTGTACACCTGTTCATACAACTGAAGTTATGTAACGAAAGGACCCTTTACGTTCGTGTGTTTCAAATGTTCGATGGTAGGATCAAATGGAACTTGCTTCATGCTTGTCGGCGTTAGATCCCTCACCATTGACATCAACCGTTTACTTATCTGCCTGTTGTTCTACCTGCAGACTGTCACAGGTTGCTGGCATTTGAAATGTCATTGTTCAGCATATGTATTACCAGCGCATGCGAAGTACTGCGCATATCTGTTCTCAGTACCTGGTGATCAGTAATGAAGTCCGCCAGTAAGCGTTTGCAAAGAACCGTTCCCGGTGCCTCACTGAATCGTCTGTTAAATTTGAACCTCTTGTCTTGGTTAGTCCATGTCTTCCTTATGCTCCTTGACCGGCTTCCTCGACGTGCATTATACACCGTCACTGCACCTAGTTGGGTCAAACCGCCAAGTGCTCAGTCGATGACGGAGAGTTGGTTAGGATAATGTTTACCATTTTGTGGATAGTGACTTCTGGATGGCCGAAACCAATGGTTGAAGACCCTATCAGACATGGCTCAGTCGCACAGTCAATGGCGTACTTGCATTCGATTTTCTACATGTAACTATTCACTTTCATTCCATCCCGATTAGTTTACCGCACTTTTCGATTCCGTTTGCTTTATATTCTGGTCACTTCCGACCACATTTCCTTGCCGTTGTTATTCTGGCGACGTGAGGTGTGACAACTGGATCTAACGCCCTCCCGTGCGCGGACCATAGTCCTTCAAACGAACTGAACTGCTACAAAACGCTCCTATTCGCATTTGTTTATGCGCTGTGTTCTCCGTCGTTGTGATGTTTTACCTTCTGCCCGCTCATTCCACTTGTCAATTACTGCCTTATCTCGTTTTCTGCGGAGCAGAAGTATCATATTTCCCTTTTTTTAACTGCCCCATTCCTACAGGAATTTTTGGAAGAAGTCTCCGAGGACCACTGCAAATTCGAAATGGCTGTGCCTGCCATAGTTCGTCCTGTGCCCAAAGGGTCTTTCACTAATGTTACTTTAGAGTCCACTATTGAGCCGGAGGTAAGCACGACACTTCTTTACCTAATAATAGTGTCCCCTAGCTGTGGCTGTTGAGTCTTTGTCAGTTTTTTATTCTTTCTGTCATGTTTCCTTTCAGGGTGACTTTTTCACCGGTTTCGCTCATTTGTTTCGTCCTTACAGTGGTAAAATTTCGACCGCGTTCCTCATCCGACTTTTTGCTCCGCAGATTCTGACGACTGGCCGACTGTGGATCGCATCATGCATAATGCTCATCCCGTCGGTTCCTCTGGCTGAAGCTGCCAGCAGTACTCCACTACTCCGTACTGATTGATCATTGCCAGCCACCACGAACGATTTTACACGAGTTGCGTCTAGTCGCGTTGTACGGCCGCCTGTTATGCCCGCAAAAGCTGGACTAACTTATGGTCTGCTAGGTCGACTAGTCACGAGTTAGTAAATGTGTTCCGGAATTTTTTGCAGGGTTCAGGTAGCGCTTATTCCGGCGTTCGCTTAATCTAGGTTCCAATTTGTTACGTTACTGCCCGTGGTGAATTACGCTCATATTTCATGTTCTAGCTGTTTAGTTGCTATGATCACTCTTCTCTGGATCTCTATTTTGTCCTTGTTTGCGTTATATTTCAACCATTGCATAGTGTCCGCTATGTCAGTCCAGTTAGATTGCTCACAGCGCATTACCGCATTGACGATGCACCTCGCATGGTGGCGAAACGTTGACAACTATTTAATCAAGCTCGGAGAACCGGTCAGCAGCTAAACAAACAACCCGAGCTACCAGTGTTTCTTATTTCCAGTGACTTGTCGGATACACGTTCGAACTTTGTATCCGTCATCTCACTATACCGGGCAGCGTAAAAGTGTCCCGACTGCTTGAAACGCTGGTTGTTCACATACCCATTGGATTCGTTTGCAGTGTAGAAAAAGCTATACCGTATGGTGATCTCATGTCGCCCCGCTTCTTGTGTCCTACAACCTCGACATGTTTACCATTGAAGCCCTATGGTCCTACCTTTTCAACACCCTCTTTGCTTTTTCGATCGATTGCTGTTGTTTTTATGACTTTGATCACCTTCGATCGGAAAAGTGGCAGGGTGGTTCAGTCGCTTCCACCAGTCGCCAGCTGGAGTTTGCTTATACGCGACAGTCAGCATTCAACCCCCGGTAGCTCCGCGGTAGCGAAACGTCCTCAGGACATCCCGGTGTAGTGCAGTCACTTACTCTTCTTCAGCCCCTATTCTCACCCGATTCTGTTGTTGGCCAGTAAATTCACTTCATCAAATCCGTTTGATCAATGCACACTAATATTTTCTCATTAACTTCTCAGATGATCCCTTATGAGGTGGGTATTCTGCGGCACTTTACTTTCTCGTCCAGCATGCAGCGCATGTCTGTGATTGCTCGTGTGCTCAACAGCTCCCACTTCAGTGTCTACACAAAAGGTGCTCCCGAAATGATTGAACGTCTGTGTCGCCAGGATACAAGTGAGTTGTCATTTTTTCACTTCCACTTCTGTGTTCTCACCCGACTTTATACGCTTCCTGTTCCATTCCCGAGAACTCTTTCCATGTGTCAGAATTCTTCAAATTCCCTTTGACACTCTTGACGTAGGGGCTTATACAGTCACTTCATGCAATCGAACGCATCGAATCGCAAGTCGCTTTCCCAGCCTGATGTTACCCATGGGTAAACGCGTAGAAACTCCACCTTGCAATGATGCGATTTTCTGGCGTTGTACCCACATTAAATGAATGAAGGCCGTAAGGTGAAAAGGAATTGTGACCGTAGAACTATGGTCAGCATTGTCGGGCATTACAACCTGTCAGCTATTCTGGGTGCTTTTCCAACTGGACATGCTCGGGATCCTTGCGTCACTGGCGCGCGTGTCGATATCGCGAATGCCTAAGTCAACCTTTTCACCTTTTGAGCCCAAATCATGTGTTACCTAACTACGCCACTTTCAGCCTTTCTCAAGGTGCGCAGAGTACACGGCGAAGCATGTACTCAAACCACCGGAGTGTGCAGTGAAATTATGCAACCGAGCGAATGGCCATTACCCCTGGATGTTTGCTCAGAGTATTACCATTTATGCAACTTCCCCCCCCTCTCTCCCTATTCTTATTCTTCGTCCTGTCCGTCATTTTGGTTGTATGGCAGCGAAGCATCGATTCAAACGGCTGATATACTGCTGTTGGTTATGATGATGAGCGGTCTGTAGCGCCTGATTTGGAAATTTGACGATGAACTTAATCAACACTTGTGTTAAGCTGCCACCGCACGCTGGTAATGCTACGGAGGCACTGGTGACCAAAACATACGAACTGCACATTTCTCGCGAATGAGCCGTCCCACACCCACAACGTTGGATGTGGCTCCATTGCAGTTAATGGCGAGTCACGTTCTACTACAGTGCATACAAAACGTAATCGAAGTTATCTGCATCTGGAAAGTATTCCCTATGTTCGCAACATGGGAATGCACCCGGTAGCGTATAGATCCACTGGCCCTCATTTCGACAATCCAGTTTGCTTGGAAACCAAATTTTCTTGATCTTATCCAATCTCCCATTTCAGGCGGTGACTTTTGACACCATTTGTTCTGTTTTCTCACAAATTTTAACTTTATGATTGTTTTACATTAGAGACGCTAATTAAGCTTTGTCTAAGATCATTTCTCCTATTTTACTTCCTTTTTCTAGTCCCATCAAGCTTCCATTCTGTCCTGATGCAATACACTCGAGAGGGTTACCGTGTCCTCGCTTTGGCATGGCGTCCCCTTAAGGTTTCTTACACGCGTATGCTCAAAATTCCACGTGAACGAGTGGAAACTGACTTACTCTTTCTCGGCTTTCTGATCATGGAAAATCGGCTCAAACCGGAAAGTGCACCGGTGATCGAAACTCTGAGGGAAGCCAATATCCGACCCATCATGGTGACCGGTAAGTAGAGTGTGGAGTCTTCCTGGAACCCTTTTAATGTGCCTCAACAATATTCCTTATCTCCCCCTTTGCAAACCAGGTGACTATTAGCGATTACAGTTTGGGTTCCCCTTATCACTTATTCCTTAGTGTGTGCGTGCATGTTTATAGTTTCAAGCCGCCTTGTATACCATTCTGAGATGATTAGGATCACTAGGTTGGCTCCCTCACCCTACCTCCTTTTTTATCATACACGGGGCTAATTACTGTCGGGCCTATCCCAACTCACTACTTTCTCTTCGTCGGTTGTCGGCTGAACTTCGATCTCTGTTGCTTCCTGTCATCCTTTACAGTGTCACTCACCCTCGGAATTTTCGGCAAGGCAACACAGCAGCATGATGCCATTTGTGCCCGCCCGTAGCCTTAATGATCACAGACCTGCCCTGTAATCTGATGGCGCAAGTCCGAACCTGCGTAGGGGAACCGGGCGATAATCCTCGCGGTATCATTAGCCCACGTGTGACTTGTGGTGGTTGTGCGACAGCGAAGCGTCGGAACTTCGTACCGGCTTGCTGCTGACGCCTAATTTATTTTGGTTTAACTTTGGGACCGAAATGAGCGCACACGATTCTGTCCGTCCCGCTTCTCTTCTGGAGTGGGTGTTCTACCTGGTTAGCCGAATCCCGCCTCCAGAAAAACGTTTCTGAATCGATTACCGCAGGTTATTGCACCCTTTATCGCCTCCTCCACACCTTTATCGTGTAGGGTGTTGTTGTCTGACTGGCCTGGCACAGACCACCGATTCAAGCAGTCACCGAACATATCACTTTCCTGAGCGATCAAACTGTTGCGGAGGTTATTGCTCGTATCATCGTGATCCGTTCGGTTATTCAAGATTCACGGTGAAACATCAACTTGTCTGTGTGGGGTAGGTCATGGCGCTGTGATGGAGTTGGTTGGTGCTGCCGCATGTTTACAACTAACCATCTACATGGCGATCTGTTCTATTGCTGTGCCGGCGTGAGTGTTGGTAAGCAGAAGGCAATCGATGCCTCTGTGTCCCTTGCTGTGCTAAATTCAGTGCTACAACGGTTGTTATCGCGGGTCTGTCGTTGCTTCTCGCTGCGTACTTCAAACTTCTGCTTTCCGTGTAAATGTCAATCTCGAGACTCCGAATTCAATATCTCCAGCGATGTGAGACAAGGATACCCGCTGTCACCTTTCCTATTCAACTTCGCTATTGACGAAGTCATGGAGATTGCATTTACAGGACATGACTTGGAAGGTGTAGAGCTACTCCCAGGAGAACGATTTCTTGACTTGGAGTATGCAGACGACCTTGCCCTCATCTGTGACAGTTCCCAAACGTGCCAAGCCGCGCCGGACAGATTAGCACTGGCTGTCAGCCGCTTCGAGCTTTGCTTTGCACCACCGAAGTGCCAAGCGTTCCTCCAAGATTGGCAGGGATCGCCCCCTGTGCTGACCCTTGGTGGGGATCAGCTAGAAGTCGTTCAGAAATTCAGTTACCCGGGAAGTTGTATCAGCGCCCTTGGGATCGAAGACGAGATCACGATCCGTATAGCGAAAGCTCGAAGTGCTTTTGCTAACCTTCGCCACCTATGGCGGCGGCACGACATCACTCTTGCCCTGAAGGGTAGAGTGTACAATGCAGCGGTACGTTCGACCTTACTGTACGGTTGTGAAATCTGGTCGCTTAAAGCAGCGGACCTGAAGAGGCTAGTTACGTTCGACCACCGGTGCCTTCGCAGTTTGGCTCACATCTGGTGGGAACACCGCGTGAGTAACGAGCGTGTTCGACGCCTTGTTTACGGCCCAGGAAAAGAATGGACCGCTCAGCACCGTTATTTCACGCACCTGGCTCCGATGGCTGGGCCACGTGTTGCGCATGCCTGCCCACCGACTCCCTCGACGTGTGTTGTTTGCTCACCGCGGATGTGGGTGGAAGAAGAGGAAAGGTGGCCAAGCGATGACTTGGTCCAGAGGAATGAAATCCCTCACTTCGGAGCTAGTCTCGGTTGGAACTTCACGGCTCCCTGGTTGGGGGGTCCAAAAGACGTTGAACACGTTTGGCTGGATACACTTGCTGACATGGCAAGGAGCCGACTTCAGTGGCGTTCTTGCTGTGAGTTTCTTTGTTCCTCCCCATCCCTTTTAGCCTCCCCTCCATCTACCATCTTATTTCGTAGGGTACAACATAATAATACATCATTTTGCCTAGTAGCTGGCTGGTAGCTTACCGGAACGATGCCTATCCGTTGCTGCTAGCTCAGCTGGCATGCAACTGTCGTGTTTATTTTTCCTTTATGCATTGTATGTCTGTATGTATTTCCTTTATGTATTGCGGTACAATAGCGGAGGTGTTTCACCCCCTGTAGCTGACATGTATGATGATGATGATGATGGTGGTGGTTGTGATGATGATGATGATGATGATGACGATGATGATGATGATGATGACGATGACGATGATGATGATGATGATGATGATGATGATGATGATGATGATGATGATGATGATGATGATGATGATGATGATGATGATGATGATGATGATGATGATGATGATGATGATGATGATGATGATGATGATGATGATGATGATGATGATGATGATGATGATGATGATGATGATGATGATGATGATGATGATGATGATGATGATGATGATGATGATGATGATGATGATGATGATGATGATGATGATGATGATGATGATGATGATGATGATGATGATGATGATGATGATGATGATGATGATGATGATGATGATGATGATGATGATGATGATGATGATGATGATGATGATGATGATGATGATGATGATGATGATGATGATGATGATGATGATGATGATGATGATGATGATGATGATGATGATGATGATGATGATGATGATGATGATGATGATGATGATGATGATGATGATGATGATGATGATGATGATGATGATGATGATGATGATGATGATGATGATGATGATGATGATGATGATGATGATGATGATGATGATGATGATGATGATGATGATGATGATGATGATGATGATGATGATGATGATGATGATGATGATGATGATGATGATGATGATGATGATGATGATGAGATGATGATGATGATGATGATGATGATGATGATGATGATGATGATGATGATGATGATGATGATGATGATGATGATGATGATGATGATGATGATGATGATGATGATGATGATGATGATGATGATGATGATGATGATGATGATGATGATGATGATGAATATGTGGCGGGTGGACTTTAGTGCAATGCCAGCTAAGGCTTCAGTTCTGAACTGTGAGATCTCGATGATGACTCTGTCCAGTTAGTCTGGGATAAATTTCTGGCATACCTTACGAAGGTTTCCACTCCCTGGATTCCACTCATTAGGAAAAGAGGGTTACGGACACAGCCTCCATGAATAGATACCACAGGCAAGTACCTACTCAAGAAACCGTCTATATGCTGGCAAACCTACCAAACAACTCCATCAGCCAGTACCTATGATAATTATCGAGAGCTTAGTAATAAATGTAAGCAACATCTCAGAACTGTTCATCTTCAGTATGAACAGGGTTTTGCAGACTCGGCCGCAGCTAATCCCAAGAAGTTTTGCTTAGGGGGCAAAACCAGCGTTATTGCGAGCCGATGGGACCCGTGCGCAAACTGACTATGACAAGGCTTGTATACTTACTAATCATTATACTGGGGTCTTTGCTCGGGAGACCTCTTTACCACAGGTTGAAGTGGTATCAAGAGTTCCAGAGAATTCTTGCTTAGCTGAGTTTAACCTAACGGAGACTCAGGTCTTCGTGCTACTGCAAGGCATTAATCCCTCTAAAGCTTCCGGTCCCGATTCAATTCATCCGAAGCTGTTGCATGAATTGGCCACTGAGCTGAGTGGTCCTCAAACATACGTGTTTTCAATATCGCTGGACAGCTGCATGCTACCTTCGGAATGAAAGGAGGCAATCATCTGTCCGATTTTTATGGGCGGTGACAGCGTTCTGCCCGCGAACTACCGACCTGTCAGTTTGACAAGCGTAGTAGTCAAGTTGTTTGAAAAGCTGATAAGGGATTCAGTGGAGAACCACCTGAATAGATTCAATCTTCTCAGTGTTGCGCAACATGGATTCCGCAAGGGATTTTCATGTCAGACTAATCTACTTGTAGCTCGTGAAAGCTGGGTCGTAATGGTAGACAGTGGCCACGCTGTAGATGTACTATTCATGGACTTTTCGAAAACTTTTGACACTGCTCCACATCTTCGGCTCTCACTAAAGTTGAGCTCTTACGGGATATCTGGTCACGCCCTTCAATGGATGTCTGCCTTCCTTGAGGAGAACAGGGAACAGTGCGTACGGGTGGGGCGTAACCTTTCGCTCAAGCAAGCTGTCCTTAGTGGCGTCCCGCAGGTCTCTTTATTGGGGCCATTGTTGTTCGCGATCTATGTAAACGACTTGCCGGGAGAGCTAGGGGTGTCATCATTAATGTTTGCTGACGACCTTAAGCTCTGGAATATTGTGGATATTCCGGGGGGACCTGAGGCAATTCAGCGTGCCTTGGATAGGCTCTGGGAATGGTCTACCTTATGGTTGATGCCCATAAATAGGGCCAAGTGCTCTGTTCTCCGAATCGGAGCTGCTAATCCTCTCACGCGATATGTTGTCGGTGGTGGTGAACTCCCTGTTGTCACTCAACAAGTTGATTTGGGGATTGTACATTCACCAACACTTCATTTTGGCGACAGTTGAAAGAAGGCTGCTTGTCGGGGGTTTCGTATGATGTGGTTTATCCGCCGCTCTTTCGGAATCCTAACGGCCAATTTGTTTGTGAAGCAATTCTCTACATTCGTCCGACCCCACCTGGAATATTGTATCCAGGCTTGTCCACCATGTCTTAACCGAGACAAAACGCACTTGAAGTGGGTGTTTCGAGTGGGCACTTGGTTAGTGCAGAGTCTACGGGGACAGACGTATCCCGAACGCTTGTTCAGTTTGGGGATGTACTCAATGCACTACCGAAGAATAAGAGAGAATCTGATTCTCACTTATTGTATTTTGACGGGTAAGATTGACCCGGATTTGTCAGGGCTATTTAGCCCCTCCACCTTACCTAATCTCCGCGGTCACTCACTGAAACTGCATAAACCACGGTCTGATAGGACAAGGACGGTAACTCGTCTGTCGCGTCAAGTTTTGCATCGCTGGAATTCGCTTCCAGATCACGTGTTCAGGGAACCTACGGTTAAGGGTTTTGCACGCCAGATCGATGCTCTTGGGTGGCAACAGCACACCTCCTTTTTCCTAACTGACTCATCTTCACTTTTCAGTTTTTGTTTTAATGACTCAAATGCCTTGGTGTTCTACTTGCTTAGCTCTTTCCACTTTCTCTTTTGCCTTGAGTTTACTTTTTCTTACTTACTTTAAGTGACCGACCCAGCAGGGACTGCTAGGACAGGATACGTGGGCATTAATTACTTGGACAGGGTGTGATGCGGTCTTTGTTTTAGGTCCATGATCATCATCATCATCCTTACACGTTAGCTGGAGGTGGAAAACACCTCAGCTATTGTGCCGCAATACAAAAGACAAAAAAGGAAAACAGTGGCACGCCCGCTGAGTCCCCAGTAACGGATGGACATCGTTCCGGAGAGCTAACAGCTGGCTGCCCAACAGGTGAGATCGTGATTGGAGGGGGATGCTAAACAGGAGGGGGATGGACAAAGGAACTCACAACACAAACGCCATTGGGGCCGGCTCCTAGCCATATCAGCAAGTGTGTCCAGCCAAACGTGTTCACCTTCCTTAGGACCCCAGCCAGGCAGTCGGGATGCACCAACCGACGCCAACTTCGAAGTGAGGGTTTTCATTTCTCTCGACCAAGTCATCACTTGGCCTCCCCTCCTCTTCCAACCGCACCCACAACGCGCAAGCAATGCATGTCGCGGGAGTCGGTTTGCTGGCATGCGCAAGACGTGGCCCAGCCATCGGAGCCTAGTGCATGATATAATGGTGCTTAGCGGTTCACTCACTCTGCACCAAATACGCGACGTCGAACACGCTCATTGCTCACGCGGTGTTCCCACCAGACCTGAGCTAAGCTGCGAAGGCAGCGATGATCGAATGTGACGAGCCTCTTCATATCAGTCGACCTGATGGGCCAGGTTTCACAACCATATAGGAGAGTTGAACGGACGGCTGCGTTGTAAACTCTGCTCTTCAGGGCGAGAGTAATGTCGCGTCTGCGCCACAGGTGGCCTAGATTGGCAAAAGCACCTCGAGCTTTTGCTATGCGGTTCGTAACCTCATCTTCAATCCCACGGGTGCTAATATAGCTGCCAGGTCTTGAATTCCTGAACGGACTTCTAGCAGATCACCACCAAGCGTTAGCGCAGGATTGGGTCCCATGCCAATCTTGGAGAAGTACTTTGCATTTTGATGGAGCAAAGCATAGCCCAAAACGACTGACAGCCAGTGCTAATCGGTTCAGTGCTCTTTGGCATGTTTGGGAGC